GCCGCCGCTGGGAAGCCAGGCTGGCCGCCGGCGCGGGTGGGGTGGGGGCAGCGGCGAGAGCCCGGGCGGGGAGGCCCCCCCTCCAGGTGCCATCCTCCCGGCTGGCAGGATCATGCTGGGCATCGGGGCCGTGGCGATCGCCTGGATCTGGCCCGTCCTGACGGTGGCAGGTGAGCGCTGGCGGAGAGAAAGCGAGCGAGAGAAAGGAGGCAGAGGCGCGCGGGGGCGGCGGCAGGTTGCGCCTTAGGAACCGCGTGGCGGGGAGTTCCGCTGGAAGCCAACCACTGAATCCCCAAGGACGCGCGACCCGTGCATAGGATTGTGGCCTAGGGGGGAGATGGAGAACCCCCCCTTCCCCTTCGTATTTGATGGAATAGATGGGTGCTTTCTATAAACGTGCATTTATAATGACTCTAAGGGATACAAGAATTAGGGGGTGATGGTTTCTCTCCCTCTCCCCCCCATAGGACTAGAAAGACCAGCACTTGTATGCCTGTGGGTGCTTGACTCAATGGGTATTCTCTGTTTCAGGAGAGAGTTTTAACTACAGACTCGATGGCCATAAATGCTGGCCAACGAAATTTACCCCTTTTCGGGAAACCTTTTTGAAATAACTTCTTGATCCTTACAGCCAGGTGTGAGTTTTGCAACTGAGCAGGTCGACCTAGAATGGCTGTCATTTTTATTTAATGAATAAACAGTTGAGCGAATGTCTCTGTCAGGGGTTTGAACTCCACCAGGCTTCCTCCAGCCCTACAATTCTGTGATTCTACCCCTTGCTTGGGGACACATCTCGGCAGCTTTTAAGAGTTTAGGAGTGATGCCTGTCTTTTGTGCCCTGGAGCAGCTTCTGTCTTCTGGATGCCTTCACTGTATTTCTGTGGTATCTGGGATGTTTGTGTGGTTTTTAACACCCCCCACCCCACCCATTGCCAAGTGGGGATTTGAACCCAGGTCTCTTGAGTCTGAATCTGTCATTCTATTTGTAGCTGAGGTGTGGAACACGCCATGACCAGAAGAGGATCATCTTTTGTTTATCTTCCTTTCTAGTCTTGTTCTTGTGCTTTCAAGGGTAGCCTGCCAGGCAGAACTCTAAGAGGCGAAGCTTCCTCACCGATATCACTTAAGCCATTTAATGCTTCAATAGCACAGGATTTGGGCCAGGGAGGAACAGGATGGCCCAGCGGTTCACTGGAACCGGTGGCATGTCTGCGCGAAAGACGGAAACGTCTCTTCCTTGAAATTTAGCTCTAACTGATCTTTACCAAGGCCCGAAGATCCACAGGTCTTGTGTTTGCGAGCTGCCAGCCAAGAAGAGGGTGAGGTCTTTGGTGTTGACGTTCTCGAACCGGGTCATTGGGAAAAAAAACTTCCTTTATGGCTTTGAAAAGATTGTTGCAAGGCCTGAGAAGTGGAAGCTCTTTGTTTATAGGGCTGCCGTGAATCCCGAGCCACACGTAAAATATTTTCTCTTGCGTCTCCATATGGGCGCAAGAGAAACTAATGTGACAGGTCCAGCTGTGCATTCATGTGTCTGTTCCATTCATTGATAAAAGGAAGGTTGGACCCTGGTAGGTACTAGAAAATCTGTGTGGCAAGGAGGCAAACCAATGTCACCCTTTGAGCTGCTTTCATTTGCTTCCAGCCTTAGCTCCTGGGAGTTGTCATTTTCTACCCAGGATGGTGGAAAACGAACACGTAGGTAATTTCTCAAGCTCTGTTCAGGTTTCCCTCATTGCAGCATCATTTATCTTAGGTTGGAAAAAAGATTTCAGTGATACTCCTTGATTAGTGCAAATTAGTCCTGGAAAAATGTGATACACTGCAGTGAAGTCCAGAAGACTTCACCGCAGCGCAAAGCAAATTCATTTGCCACCTTCCGGAGATGAAATAGGCTCCTGCTGTGCTATTTACACACAATCTAATCCTCTAATTTAAGTGTGGTGTGGACTAGAATTCAGGAGGCCCGGGTTCGAATCCACACTCAGCCATGGAAATTCACTAGGTGTATGGAATTGGTAAAAATAATAATTATGCGCTATCGTCAATCCTGAATTACGGTCACACTTCCCAGGGGTTGAGAGAGAGAGAGAGAGAGAGAGAGAGAGTACTCAAAAGGAGTGTTCAGCCCCATTTTCAGGGGCTGCCCTGGGGCCGCCTAGCTTACCCAAGACCACCCAGGCTGTTCTCTCAGTTGTCACGGGGGGGGGGAATTGAACTCCCAGCCCGATGCCGAAACCACTGAGCTCTCCAGCCAGCTGATAAAACCAGGTGCATAAATATCTCATTTACCTTGAAAGCCCTCTTAGAATGGTTCTACGTTGGTTCCGAATTTAACAGCACATAGCAATGTTTTAATCATGGTGTCATGTATATTGTCTGTTCTGCCCCACAGCCAATGGGGAAAAAAGTCTAGGTTTATAAGATGTGGAAAAGATAATGTGCAGGAAAGGGTGTGGATTGACATTCTTACCTGGGTTGCAAAGAGAACTGGGAAAGATACACAGATGGCTTTGATAATGCCGAAGCAACATAAATGTACACATATACACCCAGCATTATCTTTATGACTTTTGCCCGGTCAACCCAGATATAGCTGGAAGCCATATTTATTGATTCCACAATCCCATTCACATACAAAACACGTGAGGAGGCCTTGTGATTTTTACAGGCACGTAGGTGAGAGGAACCAAACATTCCCCTCGCCTTTCCTGGCTTAGCTGTTTTACTCTTCCTTGTGTCTTGTCCTTTTCCGCTCGGCTCATGGCAGCTTTGTAGAGCTCATTGGCGGTGGGGTCAGGGCAGAAGGAGGAAAAATGCTGGGATGCCCAGAGGTGTGTGTGTGTGAAGGCCAAGTTTAGCTTGCAAACCTTCTGACGTCAGATTCTGGATCTCATTCCAGGAAGTGGTGTAGTGGCACTGAGGCTCACAGGGTCAAAAGCCAGCAACATTTCTGAGACATAGGAAAAGGGCATCATCCATCATTCTCTCCTTCAGCCTTCCTTGTTCCCTCTGAATTTAGCTGCAGTTCTTCAAAGAGCTAGAGAAGAAGCAAATCTGTGTGTGTGTGTGTGTGTGTGTGTGTGTGTGAGAACCACATACTGTGCAAAAGATCCTTTTGGCCAGGCGAAGTACTTTCTGGTCTCCCCCCTCTTTATTCCAAAGAGTTTTAGCATCCTCTAGTCTCTCTCAGACCAAGCTCTCTCTCTCTGTTTGCAGCATTTGCCTTTCCTGGCTTTCTTAAATATTTGGGTTCATGGCGGTTTGAGTGTTTTCCCTTCTCGTGATGACCATTTCAAAGCACAAAGAGCATCTGAACTGCAAGACTATTACATAAATAATGGACCTATCTCTGGCTCTGGATGCTCTTGAATAGGACTGCCCCAAAACAAGAGAAACACCAGCACTAAAAGCCTAACAATGTAAACAAAACCGGTGTTAACTTACTAAACACATTATCCAGGAGAAACACAATAGCCAGGATATCGTGTTTAGTAAATTAACAAGGGTTTTGTTTATATTGTTAGGCTTTTTAGGATGCATGTAAAGCATGTATGAGAAAGAAGATTATGGCATACGCTTCTCGTAAGAAAAAGCTTAAAATGCAGCAATAGGTGGATTTAGAAACAAAAACCAGTTAATGCTTTAGGAAGTCAATTTGCACCTCACATTCCCCAGAACTTTGCCATGTATTGCCTACATCGCCATAAATCTGCCCACGTGGTAGTCAATGGCTTTCTTCATCTGTTTAGCATCTGGGTTGGCTTGAGTTATGATTTCTCGTCCATTACAATTTGGCCTGCAACTTTATGTTGCAATTTTGAGCTGAAAATTGGAAGGCAAACGTTTTGACAGTTTTTTTAAAAAAATGCAATGGACTGATTCTAAGATCCACACATCAGCTCTTCTCTTCCGAATGCAGTAGACGATACTTCTTCTCTTCCCGTTTGCACTCATGTCAGGGAGATGTCTCACTTACATTCCTGGGTGCTACAAGACCCCTTGTACAAATAATAATAAATAAATCAGTGCTATCTAATAGCAAAGGGACCGTCCTTGAGTGGAGTTGTGTGGTTAGTGAAAGTCCCAACCTTGTCAAGTTACCTGCTTTGAGTGTCTGAGAAGCCAGATTCCACAAGGGTGTGGCATTCGTCCCAGTGGCTATTTATGACACCGCAGCTTCTGTTCTCTCTTGTGAAATGACCCAGGATGGGGAAAGTTCCACTTTTATCTCTTCAAATCCAGGTGTGTGTAGGGGGGGGGAGGCAGATCTCACTGACGCCTGTCAACTCTTGTGCAAACTCCCAAGAGTCCAAAAGGGGTATTTCTCAAGGAGCGAAAAGCGTGTGAGGTCCTTGGAAAGTATCTTCAGGAGCACAGTGTCACAGATTAAGGGATAAGTGTACAGGTTGGGTCTGTGATCGGCCAGGCAGCTGCTCTTGTTTCAAACAATCGCTCCTGGCCCTCCAGACTCTGCCCAGTTGGGAATGCGTGCCGTGCTGTATGTAATCTCTTATCTGTACATTCCTTGGGACTTTGTGGATTAGGGCCAGGCATAAGCCTCCGAAGAGGCAGGGTGAAGCCAAGCCGCCTCAGGGAGCAGATCTGAGCTGCCTCGAAAAGATAGCAATGTGTTCCTTATTGACTGGGATTTGAATGCACTTTTACTGCTGGGGATGAGGTGATGCATTGGAGGAGGCTCTTGAGAGTCCCCTGGACTGCAAGGAGAACCATCTTATCCATTCTGGAGGAAATCAACCCCAAGGGCTCACTGGAAGGACAGATCCTGAAGCTGAGGCTCCAAGACTTTGGCCGTCTCATGAGAAGAGAAGACTCCCTGGAAAAGACCCTGATGTTGGGAAAGAGTGAAGGCAAGAGGAGAAGGGGACGACAGGGGACGAGATGGCTGGATGGTGTCAACAGGAATTTGACCCAACTCCAAGAGGCAGTGGAAGACAGGAGGGCCTGGTGTGCTCTGGTCCACAGGGTCACAAAGAGTCGGACATGACTTAATGACTAGACAACAACAACAATTTATTATTTATTTTCCCTCTTGCCCAAACAAAACAGGATCACTTTGGGTGGTTTGTGCTTTGATTTGGAGGAACTCGGATATACATTTTAAAAAATTAATGTGTTGAAATTACCATTTAAAGGCCAAAGGGTTAAAAACGAGTCTTTATTATGACATTTCTGAGAACTAGTTGCTCCTCTAGTTATTTAGCAAAACAAAAAAGTCTGAATCATGTGTCAAAGTTCTCTTCCAGTTCTCATTGCCTTGACACCCACAACACACTCATGCAAGCCATCCTTTTTATTCATTTCATATCATCACAGCTCTGCTTTCCTCCTCGCTTCTACGGATCTTCCCTAAAATCTGGAGATCGTTAGGTCTGCCACCGTCCAATAAAGATCAGTTGACTGATCAAATCTGGAGGAGGGAATCTATGCAAAAAGCTGGTTCTTCAGAAGCGTTGAACCCCGAGGGGCTGTAGAAAGAAAGCTCCCTGCTTCTAGTAATGAGGAGGCACCGGGCAGCTATTCTCACTTTCCCCTCTAAACTGATTTTCTCTGTAAGAAAAAAAAAATCACAGAAGACATCATGGAAGAACAAAGGAGGACTATGAGCAGAGGAGACGGTTGTATGAAGCCCCACCACCACCATTAAATTCAGTATAGGAGGCAGAGTGTGATACATGTTTAATCGGACGACATTCTGTGCTCACCCCTGTAAGGGATAAGTTGTAAGTCACTAATTATCTGTACCTACTTCTAAACTCTGGGAGGGGTGTTATTTGTTCATTTGTTTTATCCGTAGGCCACCTTTCTCTCAATGATGGGGTCGTATTTGTTCCATATTCGCAGGCGAAGGCAGATGTTAGAAAGGATGGGCACCCTCTTTTCAGGAAGCCTGACATGCTGGGAGCTGAAGCTTCTGGGGGGGGGATTCAGGAGAAATGGCATTGAATTCCTGGAGGGCAAAGTGCCCGGCTCAAGGGTGCGCCCCAGGTGCGTGGGCAAGAGGGAAAGAGAAAGCGAAGGGACAGCAAATCACACCGTCAGATGGCGGGTGGTTCATTGGTTCTTTCTTGTTTTCTGCTCATTTCAGTTACTGAAAACTGGCAGGAGTGTGATCAAATTTACATTCATGTGCTGGAATGTCAAATGATGGCATTGCTCTCTCATGAAAAAGCCCATGCCCATAGCTGAAACATTTCGTTTCTTGTTTTTTTTAAAAAAATTAGAAAAATCTGATTTCCTTTTCTAGAACACACGAATTCAAGATAATGTACTCAGGCGCCAACCTGGCACACAACCCTTATTCCTCTATGGGAAGTCCTCGGATGTGTCATTCGCAGTTCTCTCAACCCGAAAGCATCTTGCCTTGGTTGCATGTGTGAATGCAGCCTTAGTTTTGCAGGCTCGGCTCAGGCCTAAGCGTCCCTGCGCCTCCCACGTCCCTGGCTAGCGGCTGCTGCATCTCTCTGCTGCCATCTCCGTTGGCCGAGTTAACCGAGAGCAGCTGTTTGCCTGAAAAAACAGGGTGATTGCTCATCCTAAAGCCACACGGAATGAGAAAACAGGCAAGCTTGCACAACCGCAGCCGAAACTGGCAAAAATGTCACTCTTTCACATGACTCCCTCCCTCAAGTCAAAACTCAGAAGCCCCTTTGAAGGCGAGGGTAGCCGCCCGAGGGTTGCGCAACCAGGAAATTGTTCTGAATAAAAAAACAATGTTATGGAAAAGTCCTGCAAAATCTTTCCTGTTTAAAATGGGGCAGATGAGCGGGTTAGTGATCAGGATTCCTGCCAACCTCCCGTTTTCGAATTCTGGCTTGCAAACAAAACGAGGTTTGTGTGAAACAGAGTTTGTCTAGTGAAGAGGTCACAGCAAGCTGTGTTTGGACCAAGTGAGGGAGAGAATTGAAGTATGGGAGGAAAAGAAAAGGCCGTAAGACCTAAAGGCATAAGAATTCCCTGAGTATTGGCCATGCTTGCTGGGGATAATGGGAATTAGAATCCCAACTGAATATCCCCCCCAGGAAGCCTGGTCCAGAATATATAAACCCACAAGAGGCAGGCTGTGCATCTCCTTATTATTCTCGACCCAGTAAATCCAGATATTATAAAAAGCCTGTGGGCTTCTTGTGACTTCCTTCCACAGGAAATTAGACTTGGAAAGTATTTTACTCCTGGGGTTTCTCACCAGTGAAACAGAAAGAGAGGCTCTCTAACTATTCATTTAATGGATTCCTGATCTTACCAATGCCAATTACCGCCCTGGCTGGAGCCAGACTTACAAAAACTTCAGAGACGTGCCTGCTAAACGGAACGCTAAGGACGTTTTGAAAAATCCCAGCTCTGTGCTGGGACTGTTCCTTGATAGTGGGTGCTTTCACCTTTCCACCCCTAGAATGTCCTATGAGCCTGAAAATGTTCTAAGAAGCACCAGTTTCTAGACAAAATCCACACAATCCTAAAATCTTCGAATTATAGAATAACAAGGTTGGAATGGGTCCTTTAAGGCCATCGAGTCCAACCCTTTGCTCACGGCAGGAATACAAATCAAAGGATATCTGACAGGTGGTTGTCTAAGTTTCTCTTGAATGCTGCCAGTGCTGGAGCGCTCACCACTCCTTGAGGGAATGGGTTCCATTGTCGTACTGCTCTAACAGTTGGGAAGTTTTTCCTCATATTCAGCCAAAATCTGGCTTCCTGTCCCTTGAGCCTATTGTTGCATGTCCTGCACTCTGGGATGATCGAGAACAGATCCTGCCTCCTCCGCTGTAAGACAGGCTTTCAAGTCTTTGAGAAGTGCTCTCCCCTCTGTCTTCTTTTCTCCAGGCTATACCATGCCCAGTTCTTTCGGTCTTTTCTCCTCCTAGGGCTTGGTTTCCAGCCACCGGATCCTCCTCATTGCCCTCCTCTCCTCTGAACATGCGCCATTTGTCAGCATCCTTCTTGAAGTGTGGTGTCCAGAACTGGACACAGGACTTAAGAGGAGGCCTCACAAGTGCCTCGTGGTATTTGGAGACTCTACTTCTATGAATGCGCTGGCTTTATAGCTATTTCTAGCTTTTTAGAGATACAAGAGTTTCGATCTGTTAAAGATTAACTCAGCAGCTGAAGAGAACAGTTGAGTTACTGATTAAAGGCATATACACTAGATTATGGAAACATCTCTATGGCCAGGAGTTGCTTTTTTAAACCCTACTATTTCATCAACTGAACAGCTAGTTTATCTCAGTTAGCAACAACAACAACAACAACAATAGTGTGCCGTCAAGTCAATTCTGAATTATGACGACCCTTTTCAGGGTTTTCTGGGTGGAGAAAACCCTGAAATACTCAAATGTGGTTTCTCCTTCTCTTCTTCTGGGGTGCCCTGGAACTGTGCAGTTTGCCCAAGGACACCCAGGCTGGCTCTTTTCCTCCGCACAGGAAGGTTTACTATGCAGCTTCGTTTCTTGACTGTGTGAGAATGTGGGCAGTCGAAAACCAACTGAAATGTATTTTACAAGGGGGGGAAATGGCTTGTGATATGGAGGGTTGCCTTCTTTGCAGTTTATAGAGGACGAAAGGAAAAATATGTGAGTAAATCGGCTGCGTAATGGCTTCTAGTGTCTTTGGAGTCTTTAATGGATTCATCAAGCTCTATTTACAAAAATGGATCATTTATTAATTTTTAATTCCTGGGTTTTAATTTTAGAATTGCATATTAGGAGGTGTTTTTTTTTAAATGCTCCTTGTTGCTAACCATGTGTTTATGGTTTTGGAATGGGACTGAAGATTTCGTCAATATATCTGTTGGTTTGGATGGCTTTATGAACTCCCTTTCTACTATTTTCTTGCCTTAGCACAGCCTCAAGCGACAAAGACCTGCCTCATGGAATGCACCCCCAGTTCATTCGTAAGCCAACAAATTCCTCAAGAGCTCCTGAAAAGCTATGAGAACAACGTATGCGGAGGGAAGATCTCTGTTATGTAAGTAATGTTTTTTAACCATCCCTCCTCTGTACGTCAGTTGCTGCTCCTGCCATCTCAGAAGTCATGCTTGTAAATGCTGTTGTGAAAGGATGTGTGTTTTGCATCCCGCTTGTACGATGCAACCTAGCTAGTAGCTGTGTCACTGTGTTGTAGCAAAAGGTTGGAGGTTCGATTCCCCGCTGGGCCTCCTTGACAGGGGCGGGACTCAATGATTCATAAGGTCCCTGCTAAGATGGTGATGATGGTGGTGATTGTGGTACAGTCCTTTTAAGACTGGTAGATAGCTCAGTGATTTAGGTCTCTGGCTGTGGAGCCAGAGGTTTGGAGGTTCAAATCCCTACGGTGCCTCCTGTAAGGAGAGCCAGCCTGGGTGGCCTTGGGCCAGCTGCACAGTCCCAGGATGACCTCCAGAAGAAGGGAATGGCAAACCACTTCTGAGTGTTCTCTGCCTAGGAAACACTGAAAAGTGTTGCCCTAAGTCACAATTGAATTGACAGTGCACAAAGAAGCAAGATTTCTTTTCTCAAGAGGCATTAGCAGAGGGGTGTTTTTCTTCTAGCTGATTCTCAGGATTTTTAAGCTTGTGTTCAATGCTTGATGTTTTCGTTCTTTATTGGGAAAGCTCATGTTGGTTGTGCCGTTTGATGTTATTGAGACCATCATTACTTTCGTACATTTTGTTAGCTTCAGGGGGGGGAAAGTGGAATCTCTTAACTGCAATTCTCTTCGATCTCCCTGCAGCCTCATAACGCGCAAGAACAGAAGTTTCTGCGCCGATCCAAGTGCTGACTGGGTGAAGAAGGCTATGAGGAAGCTGGACAGCAACAAGACAATGCCAAAAGCCACACCTGTTTCCGAGAAACGGCAGGGGGCTGCCATCACCACAACTACCAAGGCTGCGGGCCGACCTCATCCCACGGGCACAGAAGCCTCTGTGGGGCACTCCAGCTCAGCCGGGCCAACGACCCCAAATCCATCTACGCAACCCACCTCTGGACGGGTTGACACTGGCGCTACCGTTCAGCCGGAGGCCACAGCAAATGGGGACGCCAATCGTCCTGTCCCTTCGAGGCCAGGGGGATTTCGGGAGGACAAAACTCCTCCTCAAGTGACATCGCAAGCAGTTCATGCAACAGGTAAAGTCCATGGCAGATTTGGTTCTGAGCTGCCCACGGGGGCGCCACGTGACACAGACCCTACAGAGGAAGAGGTGAACCCTTCCGTGACCTCGTTGTGGCACCCCGTTGTCTCCACGACAGAGAATGCCATTTCAAGTGACTCTGGAGTAGACCCCAGATCCCAGACCATACCTGATCTCACCACTGTGGCCCAGGGGAAGGATTTCACTGTTCAGCTCGGCACCCGCCCGGATGATGATGGAAAGAGGAGCACCACCGTGAGTGCAAAAGACAGAAACAGTGCATTGCATGACCCGACTGTTGTCGATACAACCAGAGAAGAGGAAAGTGGAAAGGCCCCGTTCTCCTCTTCCGGCATGCTGGCCAAGTACCAAACGCACCTCATCTCCTTGGTGGGGGGCACTGTTCTCCTCTTCCTCTTTGCTGGCATCGCCCGGGTGTATTTTAGGACCCACATCTGTGCTGGATTACCCTCCAGGCAAATGGCCCAAGGCTTAGTGTACAGTCCAGTGGACTCTTACGCAGACAACTACTCCATGCAGAATCTTTGACTCCTTTGTGCCTTTGACTCAGATTTTGCTACCTGTGGTGGTGCTGGTGGGGTCACCAGGCTTAGACTGGAAGACAGATGGTGGCCCACACCTCCCTCTTCGCTCTACCATCAGAAGATGTCTTAGGCAGGTGGTACGTGGTGGTCACTTGGCATACAATGAGATGCCTTACTGTGCCGGGTTATCGGCTAAGGCCGTGGTCTTCAGAGTGGGAGGCAGGCCTCCGTAAACTCTCCCAGGGGGATATAGAAGAACTCAACTCAGCCTTGAGTCATCCAAGCTGTGCCATTGTGTGTCTGTGTGTGTGTTTGAGAGAGAGAGAGAGATGGACAAAAGGGTGGTTATAAACAGAAAGAGATCAGTCCAGAAGTAAGTGTTGGGTCACAACACTCCAGGTGTGATCACCCAAGAAAATAGATCATATTTTGGGCCACTTGTTGAATGGCTTGGTGGAATCTGTTACCAAGCAATCAAACACCCCACACACGGAGAACTGCCCTCCGGCGTGATTTCTCATCTCCTGGTTTAATTGGACGCGTGTGTTTCGTGCCACCGGATGGCACCCTGGGGACTAACAGAAAAGGTGGCAGCTGTAAAGCTGGCCCAAAGTATTTTCCCGCCTGAGACAAAGGGACAACAGATCCCATGGTCCACCGCCACCCCATCCATCTATAGAAGCAAGCTGGAGGGAAGGTTCAATGACCTGTCCAGACCTGTGACACAAAAGCATTTTCCATGACGCTGTGAAGCGGAAAGTTCATTCTTTTACCTTTCGTGGCATGAGGGGACAGTTCCTTGCCATCCGTCAGATTCCTGCTCTGTCTTGCTATTCTAGCAAGGTTTGTATGATAGGAAGCAGCTTGCATCTTGAAATAACGGGATGGTGGGAGATGCAAATGTGTGAGGCAGATGTTTTTGACAAGTATTTATTTGCCTTTGTGAATTAGTACGTCTGAGCCAGGAGGTGAAAGCTCTGTCTTACACTGAAATTTGCACCCAGAAATGGGTGAGGAAAAAAACAAACAAACAAACAAACCCCACCCTTTATTTTCTAAGCTCTGAATGCACTTTTATATCTGCACCTTATACATGTGTCTGGTTTAAATGTGGCTTGCTCGGTGTTTTTAAACATTATGTTTTTATTTTTTCAATAAATAAAGAATCCTGATTCAAGCAACGTGTGGTTCTTTGTAAATGCCAGCCAGAATTTTTAAGACTAGTGAACCAGCAGGGCACGCAATGTAGAATGGGACCTCAGAATTGCAGATTCGTTTTATTTTATTAAACTGCATACATTGTCTGTAGAGCTTACAAACATTTCATATGTTTAAACTTGGTCATGAAATAGGACAGTTATGGGGAGTCAGTTTTCTTGAAAGTTAAAGGATTATGGGGCAAAGACACACACACACACACATTTGTTTTGCTTGAAATGTAGGAGAAACAACACCTTTGTAAGAAGGTACGATGGCTACACATCTCCTCTCTTTGAGAAGATTATCTTATTAATCTCTTGGTTGGATAGAATGAGAGAAAATTATGTCCCGCTTGGGGCTACATGGGTGTCACCACTCCCCAAGAAGATGGGGGAAGGACTGGGCTCCTAAAGGTGAGCTGGCCAGAAAGTCATCTTTCTATTGAAAGGGATTTGATCAGAAATTCAAAACTCTGCAACAGAACGGTGGGGAGCATAAATGTCATAAACCAACACGAATCCTTCCAAACCAGCTGCAGAAATGGTTTCAAAGGATCCCTTAATACACCAGGAAACATCATGCAGTGGAGGGAATTTCCAAAGCTATTGTATGGGTGTTCCCGGGGATTATAATTAAAATATCACAATGAGTAACAAACAACATCCATGCCATGTTTTAGCTTTTTTTCCCCCCACCAGAGGGTCTTATCTTTAGATGGTAAAACAAGCCGCTGTAACAAGTGGATCACCCTGGGAGGTCTTCCATTTTTAAACATACAGGTGCCCTTCCTTGATGCTTCTCTGCATAACCAAAGGAAGCACATTTCAGAAAATTACAATTCAATGCATCCCATGTCACTGAGGCTCTCCTGCTTTGGGCACATCCTGGAAGGCAAAGGATTCTCTGGAAAAGGCCATCATGCTGGGAAAGATGGAAAGCAGCAGGAGAAGAGGAAGACTCCATACGAGATGAGTGACTCCCTAAAGGAAACCACAGGCTTCAGTTTTCAGGAGCTGAGCAGGGCAACCGAGAACCGGATATTTGGAAGATGGCTCATTCATGGGGTCGCCGGTAAGTCGGAGGCACCTAACGGCAAGACAACCAGGCCTGGATTCTTCCAGGATTTGAAATCACCTGCCTTAAATAGCATCAGAGAACAGTAGCTTTGGAATCTAAACAGGAAATCTGGCTGGCTCAAAACAGAACTTACACAATGCCCCGCAGGAAACAAGGAAGAGCACGGGGCGGAGGGAGGGCGTTTGGCCAGGTGTTGCCAACTAGCAGTAGGACCGAGGGTGTTGTCACACGGGGAAGCAGACCACATGTGGACCGTTTGTGGTGCAGTTCAGTGCGATCTGTTTCCCAGCAATCACACAACACGACGTGCAATGGGGGGAATGCGCTACAGCGGGACCCCAGTCTTCCCCCAAAAATGGATCGTTGGGTTTCTGTTTTGGGGGCTGGACTGGGAGGGATTGTCCAGCAGACGGGAAGGTTACTTTAAGGGAGATCATGAAAGTGGCCCACGCGGGTGTGATCACACACAGAACGAGGACAGGGCTTGGGAGACATTGGATCGGACCCGGTCTGCCCAGTCCATTTCTCCAGAAGACCCCCTCTAGGCCAGCAGCGGGACGAGCAGATGTAACTACTGTAGAAGGGAAGCCACATCTGCTCATAGATATGAGGGTCTTGCTGTAGAAAGGTTTTGCACCCATCTTTTTAAAAAAGTGACCTCCGGGCACCACACGGATCTGGGTCTCAACACACTCACTGGGGGGATGGCTGAGTTTTCAAGTCAAGACGTCCTCAGTGGAAAGGACACACATCTTGACCTATTTCCTTCCTTCCTTCTTCTAAAGATTTCTCCCTGATGGGTTATATAATCTTAGAATCTTAGAATGGTAGAGCTGGAAAGGGACCCTGTGGGTCATCCAGTCCAGCCCCTGTCAAGAAGGCACAGCCGGGAACTGAACTCCCAACCTCTGGCTCTGCAAATAGATGTCTAAACCACTGTACAATCCTATAAGTTTTTCTTTTTTTCTTCTTTTCTTTCTTTTCATGAAAGTGGTTTTTTTTTTTTTTTTT